TTAGCTATAAGCTTCATTAGCTATAAGCTTCATTTTCCAGAGCTTCATTGAAGTTTTCATGAATTTTTGTATGTTGCTGCTGATGCCAAAGGTTTTCAGGCATTTCTTGATCCAGCTATGGGGAACTGAATCAAATGCATTCTTATAGTCTATCCAAGCCATGAACAGGTTGGTTAGTTTTTTCTTTGAATTCTTTAGGATTAATTTGTCAATCAGCAGTTGTCCTTTGTTCCTCTTGAATATTTGCAGCATCTTTTCTGTTTTTGTTGGGTTGCTTGGCTAACAATGGAATCTATAAAGAGAATCAAAAACCTATGACCACTCAGTCAAAAACCTTGCTCTTTATTTTTTACATTTTTTTAAAAGGTGCAGGGTTTAATTGTATAGTCATGGCCATCATCTTGACATTTTGACAGTCCCCTGTTTGTTAACCATGCATGCTTATTAGGTTGCCTTAATTATTTAGCAAAACTGATGTTTGCTTTGCCATTTATTTACAGTTTGATAATTTAATTTTTTCTTTATGGGTACCAGTCAAACCATTTGTCATTTCAAACATAGCCAACCACACTCAGAGGCATTGGCAAGATCTAACATTCTCATCAAAATAAGGAAAGCAGCAAGTGCCATCAGCCCCCCAGGGATACTTTTGTCATTTGTTCCCTTCCTCCTTTGATGCCACCTGCAAGTACTTCTGGTCACACCTGTCCCAGAATTATCAATGTCTTTGCTTGTTAAAGTAAATATATTTGGTCAGTTTCCATGTACTAAACTGAGAAGTTAACTTTGAAAAGAAATATAGTGTTTTATTACATTATTAATAATAATAGTAGAACTGATGAAGTCAAATAAGAGTCTTGGAATGTTGGAAAAAATGCATTCTGATTTAACAGGCAATAATATCAAATGGCAATTAAGCACATAAATGTGTATAAGAGATCATTAATTTCTATGGAGATTCTCAGTCATCTGGCTCATACTGTAGTTTTCTCAAAGGTGCTTTTTCAAAAGGCAACTAGATGTTTCACTTCTCATTCAAGGAGCTTTTTCAGTTCTGACTGGATGGTAGATGGATTACTTTTTAAAGGAGCTTACAAATGACTCCTGAATGGAAATGAATGTATTTGCAAACAGTATGGAAAGCAAGAATATTTTTCTTTATAGTCTGCGTTAGAAATGTATACTGAAAACAAAAATCAAGAATGTTACTTACTGGCCAAATTCACACAACATGCTATACTAGACTAAAATGTGGTTGGGTAGTTTGTAGTTCTGTACTATAGGAAACACTGCCATTTTCTTAGCATCTTGTGTGAGCTTTGTCATCACATTACAGCATAATTATTTATGGGGGTGGAGCGGTTGGTTCCTACTGGTTTGGCGGCCTGGGTCACTGGAACTGGCAGCGCACCCTCAAACCAGTTCTCCTACAGCAGCGCCATCTTGTTTTTCATTTCTGTGCATGCGCAAGACAATTTTCATTGCAATTTTTTTAAGGTTTTGCGCGTGCACAGACCTTTTTATCTGCAGATGCACACACACGCACTGAACTGGCAGTAATGTCAGCAGCAACCCGCCCCTGGGATGGAGAAAGTCATAGCATGGTATACAAATACTACACTAATGTGAAGTTAATCCAAGTTTGTTACATCTGTGAGATGAACTTAGAGAATGAAATGAAACATGGAAGTATTGTTGCTTTGTACTGAAGCAATGGAAGTAATTTTGAGTGCCCAAAGACAAACAGAGAAAGGAACTCTTGGTTCAAATAGATCTTGCTTCTCCTTCACAGACAGATGGCAGGTGCAGGAGACTGAAAGATAAATAAAATAAGACCAAGGGCTCTCTGCAGTCTGCTGTCTGCCTTTTTTCAAGCATGAACTGTGTGTATGTGTGTATGTATGTGTGTGTGTGTGTATGTATGTATGTATGTATGTATGTATGTATGTATGTATAATCTATCTATCTATATCTATATCTATATATCTCTATCTCTATCTCTATCTCTATCTCTATCTCTATC